TTATATTACTATATAATATTATATATAACATTATATATTATATTATTATATATATTATTAAAGGCAGCCGACATTACGACTCAAATCTTTTGTTTAACTCCAAGTGTGCGTGTGTGTGTGTGCTTGAAGCCTCTCGGCGCTGGAGTCAATCCCAGAGAATTCGTAGATAGATAAAGAATCGCTCTAACAACGTGCTCAATCCTATCCCCGTCTACTGAAAGAAAGAAAAAATCCGAACGATTCCAATGTTGGGAATAAAACTGATCGAACTCAGTTGGAATTACTCCTGCGTCACCCGCGGGGATTCAAAGCTGGGCTCCACAGAAAGTAAACAGGGTGAAATTCGGGTTACCTAGCCGCCGCCCCCTCATCGCCTCGACGAGGTTTTGCTCCCTTGCCTGGAGCTCAGGCTTGTCAAGGCGGTTCCGGCCGAGCGCCCCAATTGAAGTGACAGGTATCAAGGCCCATTTCCAGAGACGGGCCAAAAATCCAACGCGGTCAAAATGGCTGTCTTTAACCCAACCCCGTTAATTTTCCCACTCTCCGTGTTTTTGTCACCGTTCTGTTCATAGGCTCAACCGTGTAGCCGCTTGGCGAGGTGGGCCGGGCCGCACTTAAAACTTGAATGTGTCTGTGTGTAGCAAGTCCTCCCTGACACGAAATAAAAACTCGAGGAATAATCTGCGGTTTCGGCAGCGAGAGGCTGACTACTCTCAGAGCGGTTAACAAAAGCTGCATCTGCCTGTAAACGCCGGTTTGGCTGGAAAGGCAGCAGGACTGCGGGATTGGGAGCCCGGACAATCCGCCGCCCCCGGCTCCCTGTCTTGGGTCTCCGCACACCTGGGCGGCGGTGCGGAAGCAGATACTCTTCAGGTGGGGGAAAGGGAAAGGGGAGGTCTACTTGGGTGGGAAGAGACGGTCAGCAAGCTTAGACAAAGTCAAATGGCCAAACACTTCTGAGAAGCAACGTTTATTATTATTATTATTTTGCTTGTTTTGGTTTTCACCGTAGAACCAGGTCCTGAATTTCCCAGAAGACCAGAATGGGAAAGCTTTTTTGTTTGTTTTCTCGGCTGCAGAAGTAAATCCATCTTCAGCACTGAAGCAGCACCAATGTTTTGTTTTGGTTTTTTGTTAAAAAAGAGAGAGGGAAAAATCTGAAGAGGAAAATACAACAAAACACAACAATCTTTTTATTCTTCTTATTTATGTAAATCAGGTCATCACTGGACAAGAAACCAAGTTCTACCCATTACCATAACAGTTTGTCCATAAAGAATGGAGAAAAAAAATCAGATTGGGTACTATCTAGTATCAAGCGCTTGTATATTTTTTTTGTCTTTTTCTCTATTTGATCTCAACCCTCCCAAGATTTAAATTCCCCACCCATTCACAGAGGTATAGTCACAGATAAATAACCCCCAAACTACTTGCTTGCTGTATTTACACAATCCCATTAAATTAAGCATAAATAAATATATACAAACTCATCACTGAATACCTTTCCCATTTTTTCACCCACCCCATTACTTTTCTGGAAGAGACCCTAAAACAATTGATATTTTTTCCACTGTTAATGGAAAGACTATTCAAGAATAGGAGTCAGTTTTACTGTTTTGAATGTTTTGTGATAACACAAAAAGAAAACGTAATTGATTTCCCAGCCTTATTTTTTTGTATAAGAATTTGCCTCTTTTAGCTTTACTCTTTGAGTTGTCAGCTCTTCAAAATTCACTGTGGGAGCACAGATTCCTTTCTATGCTCACAAGGGTTTAAACTTTCCTAGAATGGGTTACAGGTCCAGGCTCTTAGCCACCCGTGTTTTCTTTCTCAGCACACACCATTGTTCATTTTAAAATGTTTCTTTAAAAAACATAAGATAGAAAATTGGAGAAAACAAATACCAATACTGGAAAATATACACTCACACATATATTTTAATAAACATATGGCCGAGAACATACATCAGTGCAATTAAAGCATCGATTTGTTAACTGCAGATAAGTTGTTTTTTAGAAGGGTGGAAAATTTTAGTCAGAGCTGTCCCATAAAAAAAGGGGGGGGGGCATTCAGTGCTGAAGACATGTTGTCATCCTCATTGGATAAAGGAGGAGACTCCCTTAGAGACACTCTTTCTGGGTAACAAAAATCCACTACATGGAAGAAACAGCTAACAAATCTTCATTGTATCTCTGCTGCCATCTAGTCATCCAGATTTTTTTTCAACCAGCTATATATTTGATTTAACAATATCTTTTTAAGAATCCCATGCTCCATTATTTCTATTACCACACAGCAAAAGAAAGCCAAAGGTTTTAATAATACATGGAAATGCCTCTAAGGTAAATCCAGTTGGAAGACTAGGGATCACACCTTGGTCTAACAAGCAACTCTAGAGCAAAGTGCTTGTAAATTGACTTAGCAGCTAGTTTGTTCCACTAGTGGATAGTTATCCCTACCATTTTGGCAAGTTTTTCTTTTAATGAAAATTTAAGCAGATAATTGGGCAGGAAAGAGGGGACAAGGATGGAATGGGAGGATGCCTTTAAATTATCAACAGAAGATATTTCCCCAAAGTATTTTTTAGATCACCAGTGATCATTCAGGGCTTTATGTGTGTGTGGGGGGGTGAGATTTAGGGTTGGGTGATGGTTCATTCCTCCCCCCCACACACACACATTCTCTTTGAAATGTCTTGAAATGCTACAGTCCCATTGTCCTTCCCTAGCAGTCATGCTGCCATTGTAGTTCCATTACTATCTCATATTGCCCACTCCCCTCTGGAAAACTGCTGAGAACTCACTCAGCTAACTGGATGAATTGATTGAGGCAAAGGTAAAAAGAGAAGGCTATGAATTCAGAGCTTTCCTTCACTCAGACTGATTGCCAGCCTGGGCATAGGGAAGTTGTACTTTCCCATTTTCCTTCCATGTCTATGGCGGATGCCTTACAATAACTTATAGTTTTTCCCCAGGTGTACCAAAGGGGTTGCAATAGAGAGCTTGGACAGAAAGCAAAGGGAGGCCATTTCAAAGAGAAACCACCCCAAGGGAAAAAGTCAAAGAGTCCTTTCTTTCAGGATTGCTGGTTTCATTTAAAGGAATGTGAAATGATGTGAAAAATTGTCCTATACTGGGCCACCAATATACTAAACCTAAAGTGAAAGAAAGTTTCACTTAAAACAAATTTCAGAAATTCCCTTTCAAACCATTTTCCTTCAGATGCAGACCTTAAATACTCATGACTAATGCAACCTTCCTCTCTAAATTACTCTAGAAATCAAACAGAATGTTTCCAGTAAGGTGATTCTATTACTATGTGGCTTGGAGACTTTATCTACTGCAAAACTGGCCAGAAGACAGTAATAGGAAAAGTTGCACCTGTTGAATGTGAAGCTGCTGACAGCCAGAAGAAGCAACAGGTGCCAAGAATCTCTGCTATTCATAGCATCAATTCTTCTTACATCATGTAGCTGAAAAACAGACTGGTAACTATCAGAAATAAGATTCCTGGGCGAATGCTCCTGGGCAGTGCCATTGATGAATGATGCTAACTGTTTTGTCAGAACTGGAGAGCTATGTAAAGGGATATTTCAAATTACCCAAAGATTACACATGGTAGCACACCTGTTTAGCTTCAGAACAACTACCAGTGGTCTCTCTTTTAAGTTTTTTTTTTTGGGGGGGGGGTATAACAAAGCTACTCCAGCCATATGTGTATTTATTCAATACAACAGAATGTTTAAACAAAGGAGAACAATTTCCAAACATAGAACAAGATGTACAGGAAGCACAAAAGCCTGAGTACAGTGTTTGGCAAAGTATTTGTCAGTGTGTTCCAAATTTAGCTTTTAAGTGACACAACCAAGTAGCAGCCAATCTTAATTCTATAATAATGGAGAATAAGGTTGATTTAACAATTGGGTTGTTAAAGAGGGAGACAATTACTTTATTTCAAATGATATTGTGGGAGCGCTTGATAAAGCCTCATGTCATTTCTATGCCTGGGAGAACCTGTTCCACCAAAGGTTATGATCTATTGCAGGTCATAGTCTTTGGTGAAATTGTGTTTAATTTACCCTTTAAAATACAGTTAATTTACCCTTTTCCAGTCTGATCAAGAAATCTTAAAAATGGAAAAGTCTGAACACTGGCTTCTTATTCAGTTTGTATATTCTTCTTTTTCTGTCAAAAATCTTGTGCCTTTAATGGCTGCTTACAAGAATTCCAGTAAGTGCAGCAGATGAAGCATCACAATGCAGAGAATGGCAAAACTTCACATTCTCATCAAGGAACAGAAATGAATGGCAAGAGAACCAACAGTGGTAGATACCTGCTTTTAGCTGCCACAGATGTATATAATTTCAAAACTATCATTTTTCAACAGAATTTTCTCTGAATTTAGGAATACTGGTTTTTCCTATAGATTCTTTTACGGTAGTTTGATACACAGGAATTTTCAAATAGCTTCTTCTGCTAAGGATTATATTGTGAGCTACTTTTAATGATATTGAAAATTCGTTTCTTCCTATTTAGATATTAGCTGTGACAAGAACTTCATTCCTACTCCCCCAAGTCTGCAATATTACTGGGGAAATTAAATGAATTAAAATGACAATACTATGTTTTTCCCCATGTAATCAAAACATTCAGTTTTCCTTGGACATTTTAAAGAGTTTTGATCAAATATATTTTTTTCTACAACTACAGTCCACGGGATACCAAACTGTTTCCTCCAGTAATACAATCCTGCCCTTTAAGCAGGGAATACAGTACAAAATGTACTATGTAAGACAAAATTTTGTGCACTGACTTTATGATGCAATTCTACAGATCAATAGTGGAACTGTATAGGTAGTGCTTAAATATTACATGGTTTTACAGGGATTAGAAAAGTGAGTCATGTTTTTTTTTTTTATTTGACCAAGTTATCATTGATTCATAAATTAATCTTACCATAAATGTATCTCACAAATTAATCTCATGTGATTTATTCATGAGATTTAAATAGTAGCAATTACTTTTAAGACTGTATTGATAACTGCTATTTTAATACATTGCTTCAAGAAAAAGTTGGGTCCTGCAGCTGTGATGTAACAGTAGCATGGGCAACCAATTTTTTATATGCTTGAGTAATTTACAAAGTTCTTTAAAAAAAAAAACTTAAAAGTAGATGATGGGTCAGATTATTAGCTTCTAGGAACACTGCTGGGATGATGAATAAAATTACCAAAAATAAGAGATGGGGGAAGAGTAGGGCTTGGCATAGCAAAGGATGGATTGCACAAAATGTATCTCTGAAAATATGAAGATGCCAATCAGTGTGTAGACAATACTGCTCAATCCATTTGTGCATTCTGCTGCAGGGTCACAGAATCTGTTGGTGATACCAAAAAACAAAACAAAACAAAACACCTTGTGAAAGAATATTCTCCTGGAATAGTTAACAAGTTATTGGGGCAGAAGATCCTATCCAGTAAAACCACTGGCACTTCTTTCTATTTCTTTCTGTCTTTCATATGCATACACTAAATTAGTTTGAGGTTCAGCAAGCTGAGATAGGGACATGCTTATCAAATAATGCCTCTAAACGCCTGCTCTTTAAAGCTAAATAATAACTGGTCTTCCCATACCCACCCGAACATAATCTTTCAAATTTTATTCTGAAACAGCAAATCAGGTTTCTCTGGGTTGTTATGCAACAAACTTTAGCAGCATTTAAAAGTAAAAGGCAGGCAATTCAGTAATCGATATCAGTTACATGTCCATTAGGAGCAAAATATCTCCTGATTAGCTGTTCAACTTTTCAATTCTTCTGCCTCAATGTCTTGTTTAATTTAATGATAATCTGTATCTTAGGCACAAGCAGTTGAATTTTAAGTAATGGAATATTTCCTCAGCATGCCTTTTTAATGTTAATTCAATTTGGATCTTTCATGTTCATATCAACAGGACAAATAGTAAATTATTTTTATTTTGCAATAGGGAACTTGCTATATTTATAAAATTTGGCAAGAAAAAGCCTAAACTCAGAGAAAAGAGAAAAGCAATCAATACTGCAATTGCCTTCAAGTACTATAAAGGATCCTCTAAAATAGTATGAACATAAAGATCTATTGTCTTCCATTTCTTTCTTTTTTCTGAATGCTGGAAAGGACATGACATACAAACAAGATACAATTTTCAAGTATGTCATATAAAGAAAGTTATCTTAAAAGTATGCTGTGTAATCCAGTCAATATTAAGCACATTTAAATTCCACTGGTTTTAATAGGATCAAGTCAAACAAATACTCATTTCTCTGAAAAATAAATTAACAAACTGGGTAGATGGAACTGCAGTTTTGAATTTACTGTGTTTCATGATGAAGACGTTTCTTTTTCCTTAGGGACAGTTCCTACTAAACTGCAATATTTAATATATTAACTATTTAGCCTGTTAATTGCCTTGATAAATTGGGCAGCTTTTTTTTAAAAAAAAAACACTAGTACTCAAGACAGCAAAAATAAACCAACTTTTTTTCCCTCAAGTAGAATAGAATGGCTACACTAATATCACACTCCAAAAAATAAAACATGTATGTTGTTGTCTTCATAACTATTGTTTATACTATATTCCTAATTAAAATGAATATCATATGGAAGCTCAGTTATTCAAGTTCTGCAACAGCCATGATCACAATCTTATTGTAAAAAGGCTGTGCTTAATCAACTCATCCTCCTAAAACATCACTGAAATTGGACAGATATGAATTAAGACCAGAATTTAAAGCTGCTCCTACAACTGAACTAATAGTTGGCATTAAATCAATTCCTATTAAAGTCAATAGAACTGCAATTTTAGTATTTAGATATTATATATGGATGGAAGCTCCACAGATTGATGAACTTTCCTGCCTAGATAAATGTTCTCAGAAACGGTGCCTTAAGATGTCCATAGACAATAGACTCCTATTTAAGAGCTTGGGAACATGTCTCAATAAAAACAACTAAAAAGGTGAATTCATGACACCAAAATCACTCAATGTGAAAAAATAGTTTTAAGTACATCTTAATTGGCTTGGCTGGGAATTAGGAATCACAGGGTCAGCTTACAATACGTAATTTAGCACCTATGGTGTATAGCTTCCTATATGGAAAAACTACTGATAATTATAAATTAAGAATATTTCAAGCATCTGCACATTGATACATTTCTGTATATATGCTGCAAAAGATGCAACTATCTGGCATATGATATGTGTGGTTGCTTCAAATGAAACATTAACCACTGCTGTATTAAGTGATCCCAGTTTATAGTATCAAATGATCTAACTTTTACTGAAAACTGCAAGTACCCAAATAGCATTTGAAAACTGCATTTCAATTTTTTTTAAAAAAAATTGACTTCCTCACGGATGAGTAGCCATAGGCCCAAGCCTTCAATGTTCCCTTAAGTGGAATTAAATTCCACCAAAATTAATGGAACTTACAGCCATATAATGTGTTTAGGATCAGGGTGGCAGGCATAATACATCTTTATCCTATTCTCATCTTCTAGAATGAATTCAGTGAGGCCAAAATGAAGCATAGACACAAGCTGTTGTGACAAAGGGAAACAATCTTTCAAAATGCATGAAATACCATAGCCACTGTCAATTCAACAAAACCTTTGCAAAGTGATAACATACAGCAGGATGACATTCATTTTCCCCCTAAGGGTGGTTTCTTTTCCTACCTACTCCAAAAAAAAAGAAGTTGAGTGTTTTTAAATGTAATTCATACTTAATCACTGTAAATTATTGGAAAATGGCCAATTCCTCCTCTTCCACCCCAGGGTCAAGATAACTATTTATCTTCCAAGTCAAAATTTGCAACACTCCTTTGATAACTAGGGGAAATAGATCTCCTTAAATTTAGATACTAATTGAATAATGAGCCATGATTCTTATTACCTTCTCTAAAAGAGGAAATATATTTAACAAATCTGCTTTTACTCTGTGCATCAAACACTATTGCCCCACCTCCCAGTTCTCTTTTTATAATTTTGGAGGACATAGTATTTGCTTCTAAATCAGCATCATTTGCTCAGTTAGTGAAGCCTTATTTAATCTATTCCCTTTGAGCTTCTTTAAAGAAGTACACCTGCAGAATTCCAAAACAACTGACTTTGATTTGAAAAGGAAAAGTGTCAGAATTGTGGATTTTCATCTCAGTACCTGATGAAATGTGTACGGAGCTCTAGTCCTCTTTGAAGAAGCTCATAAGCCAAGCGGGCAAAGCTTTGGGAAACAGAAGAAAATTAAAAAGGTGCATACTCCTGAGAAGGTTTAACATACTTATCAAGACATTATTCTTATTAACATTTCTGTAAAAGAACAAAGAGTGTGTCTGTGATCTGAGACATTTTAAAGAGAGTCAGTCATTGCTCAAATTTTAGTATAAAAATTTACAGACTGATATCATTATCTGTGACATTATCTCTTCCCATTACTGTTCCCAGTCTAGGAGGCCTATCTGCACTCCAGTGCAATACATGAATCTCTTCCATACATGGATTTTCACTTTTGTCGCACACACTTTCATTTGTGCCTCTTGTGGGGCACTGCGAACCCTCCCTTCAATAGGACATGGTATTTCATAGAAATGTAAAAAGGTAGTGTTCCAGGTGAGAGCTCCAGGTGTATTTTAGAAATTTTTTTATCAAACAAACTAGATTACCAGTTTCAGGCACAGGGCCATTTCAGTAGTAACATTTGCCCTCCGTACAACAGTAGTTATGAAAAAAGTTGCAATTGAAAAGAAAAGGCATGTTGATCTTTATATCTGTCCACAAAAAGAAATGTTCCTTTTCCCTTTCCTGTTCTTCACAGTTGTTGCATGCCTGTGCAACATTTTTTTCCACAGGTACAAAATGTTTACTTCATGATAGCCGTATTTTATTATGAAACAAAGGGTTGACTCTTGTCAGTTATTTGGTTTCAGACTTAGTCATGCTGAGTTGTAGGTCTAGAGTTAGTAATGGCTAGTATTGATTACAATGGGTCTCCTCCAAATATGACCAAGTCTGGATCCAATCCAATACCTTAATGGAGCATATATACACAAATTATACACATCCTTATGGATAGAAAAAAATGATTATTTGCAGCCCCCAAGTTTCAGGATTAAATATGTTAAGCGGGCAGCATTTGATTAACACTTTAGGTAGGTATCCGGAGCAAGCAGAGGCACCTGAGAGCAATCCATTAGCTCTTCCACTTACTCATCCATATACTGTAGTTAGTTTACATTTGAACATTTTCACAGCCTGAATCCATCACCTCTGTGTGTAGTTACTAATAATTCTTCTTAATGACTCATAGTTTGGACAGACTCAGATTTCCCCCTTTCTTCCCACTATTAGAAAATAATTTGGCCAAATGCTACTGACCAATTTGAGGCCCCAGCTACTCAGACCACACAGAGAGGGAACAGCAAAAAAATTACACAAAATCAGGAAACGTGGTCCGAATGGAAAATCCAATATAAAATATATCCATCCCTTAGGTTTTTCTTTCTACTTTAGATAGGTTTTTTAAAAATAGTAATAATACAGAAACAGACTGTGTACCTCGGCTAACATAGCAACATTATCAAAATGATTCTTCCAATAAATTATTGATTGCTTTTATCTGTTATAATTTCATCCCCACCAAAAATTATTTTAAAAAAGTATTGTGGGATGACAGAAGTGGAAAATCCTGGATGTTATCTTCAAAAGTTCCTTTGCCATAGCCACTGAGCCACTCTTCCTGTTCCACTGTGCGCCTCTGACCTTATTTTCTTTTTTAAAATTACTTGCAGATGTGACCTACCTAGCGTAATTCTTCCAAACCCAATCCAATATTTTAAAGCTAAAATTAAATGTTTTTCCTCCCAAAGGATCGCGCTCAATCTTTTCTTTCTGTTTTACCCCCTATTTTCATTAGCTTGCTTTCTTATTTTCTCTCTCTCTCTCTCTCTCTTTCATTTTCTGTGCTTTTCTTCCTTGTCTCCAGTTTTACTACCTGGTCCTTCCCCAGAAGTGTGCCTGTTAGCAGAGTTGTTGTTCAAGAACATCTTGTCCATTCCTTTGAGAGCTTCCGTCAGGTAATTCTGGAGAGCAGTCAGGGCAGCACAGATGGCTGGGGAGCCAAAGCCGTGAGTGATGAGACTGAAGTGAGTCAAGCAGCTCTGGATCCCTGGCTCCAAGATGGGTGTTGGTCGGCTATTGCCAATGGGTGTCCGGTCTTGGGCCAAAAGATCAGTAAATTCTTTACACATTTGCCTAGAGATGAAGAAAGCAGATGACAAGAGCATTAGACCAGTCAGGATTAGAGAACTCTGATGACTATCAGTTTTTTTTTTGTTTTTTTTTGGGGGGGGGGACCCTACAAAATCTGACAATGAAAGCATTATTTCAATATAGTGAAGAAATTTCCATTGAATTCTATTTTAAAAAGCGAATTTGTGTAACCAAATATCTCGCTTCCAATATATTTTGCATTCAGAACAATGAAAGCTAATTAATTATCTTCTAGACTGTAAAAATCAGGACAGTCATAAGACAATGGTGATGAGTTAGAACATTCTGTATCTCTGCTGCTAGTAATGAACTGGGTTTTTTTGTTTGTTTGTTTTTGCAGCTCAGTTCTGGTAGCTATAATAATGTAATAAGGAGAAATGTCCTTATGAAGTTTGACATTTCGGGTAATCTATAGATCACAGAGATACAAAAGCTGACTTGCTCAAGTGAACCAATGCATCAAAGAATGGTTAAAGAGGCATGCTGGACAATTGTCTAGAATTCTTTTATCAGCATACCTGCACAGAGTTTAAAGAAAAAAAGTAAAAGCTCCTGAACTTAATACAGATACAGTTTTCTGCAAACAGTACAGGTTTGGTATTGCCTTCTTTTGGGCCATTTTTTAAAAAACCTTCCAGGCTAGTACACAGCCCTATTAGTCTCTCCAAGATTTAATCAGAATGGCCGTTCTTAGTTTTATAATTCAATTTCAGCTTTTTGGTTCCATCAGCCAAGGCAGACTAGGTTTATACGTTTCATAGCTTGTTTAACCGTCATTAAATAAAGTACTAGTGACTGGCTCTTCACCATAAATCATGGTTCACAAACTATAGTGGCTTGGTTCACAAAACTTGCTGGCCCCAAATTAAACAAATTAATTCTTAAACTTCAACTAACAGGTACTTTGTTATTTCTATGACATCCTGTGTCTGGACCATCAATTTGAGCAGGACTATTATGACAGTAGTTTTATTTGCCAATACCTAAACATTATTAATTAGACAGCAAGAGAAATAAGGGATCTTTTAAATGTGGTGGGAGTATATTTAGCCCTACTATTGTACTATTATTGTTTACCATGCATTGCATAATAATGTATAATACACCATACTGTTGGATAAGTTCAGGACTTGTGGGAAAAACAACCGATAAAATGAGCATCTTGGCATAATATTGCATGCATGTACCTAAGAGATTTAGTTAATCATAAGGCCTGTTTTCTCTTTCTAATCAAATGGCCAGATTCTACAGATTCCTTTCTGCAAAGAGAAAAACATCTGTGGCAGAGGAACTGGGGCTGGGAAAAGTGCTAGGAGGAAGCCTAGCCAAAGATTACACAGGGATTTAAAGCTCTCAGAGTCATTGAAGATGTTAAGTGAGCCATATATTGCCACCTAAATTGTGACTGCTCTATTGGGACTTTGGTTTAATTACATAAAGAATAGTGTGGTAATTCAATCAGATCTTTCCTGATGTCTCTCGCTGTTCCAAGTTTACCCTCCATGTATTTGGGATGGGTGAAAACAGGAAGATCTAAGATACTGTTGCTAAAGCAAGTCCATTTTTTTCTGTTCCTTGTTTTTTGTCTGTCTATCTGAAGACCAGAAAGAGAAGTTGATTGCAGACTTTTGCCACCAATAGCCATGGCCAAAGTAATTCAATCAACTACTAAACATAAGTACAGTACAAAACTGTAGTTAAGACAACTTTTTTAAAGTCCAATGTAGTCCTACAGTTGAGACCTATACATCATATGAGATAATCTTACATCTGATTTACAGTAGCACAGAGTATGGGTAACATTTAAGTAATTAAATACCAAAAATGTCATATACTCTGAAGACTAGGGAGGACTGTAACACAGCCTTATTTCTCACAAGGTATTAAATGGTGTAGGGTCTCCTGCTTGGGTGTGGGTTGAACTAGATGATGTACAAAGGTCCCTTGCAACTCTGTTAATCTGTATCTATGAGCATTAATTTTTGTAAAGAAAATAACTTAACAAACAACACCTCAATTTCAGTCTAAACTGGTACAATTGTTTTTGTTTGTGACAAGCAAAGTTTTAAGACTATTTTATAGATACAACTTTGATTTACTGTCCTCACTCCTAGGGACTAGTCTCATTAAGATGAAAGGCAGATGTTTCCATTCATTAAAGTTTATACATGTATGAATTAGAATCCTGTATTGCCTTCCTTAACAATAACTATTTATAAGGAGAGTTGAAAAACAATAATGCCAGAGATACCAGAAGTTGTACCTTCAGTGTGTCTTCTGGACTTGGAATCATTATGAGAATAGAAACTTTAAACAGAAAGAGCTTATATTCTCAAATATGTATTAAATACACATACAATATGACACTGAAAGCTATGCAGGTTGAATTCATGCATAACTCAGAAATGCAATTGTTTCCATTTTATTAATTTATTTAATATCTCTCACTGATGTCAATAATGCATAGAGGGACTTGGATATCACAGATTTGCATACATATTTTATTGATATTACTGTACAGCTACCTATCAGTCCTAAACAGAATACATCAGCATGCATACATACCCATATAACAAACATTCAGTTTAAAAGAAGTACAATTCAAGGTGCTGGTTACCACTTTTAAAACACTACAAGGCTTGGTGCCAGGGGTTTGAAGGATTGTCTCTCCCCTATTATATCCCTCTGGCCCACCAGGAAAAGAGAGCAGAGTATCTTCAGGGTCCCATCGATTAGGAATGTACCTCTAGTGGGACCATGAAAAAGGGTCTTCTTGATGATCGCCCATTCTCTACAGAACATCATCCCCCCTAGGTACTTTTCCAAAAGACCCTAAAAATCTGATTTTGCCAGTCGGCCTGGAGGCCACGAATGGAGATGGAGCTGATCAAGTGGTTGATTTTGCTGAGGCCATGGTTGGGTGAGGTAGGATTTTTATGTGTGGATTTTTAAATGTTGTCAGCCACCCGAATAAGCTGTGCGTGAATTGGGTGGCCATAGACCATGAGTTCTAACTCTCTGAGGGAGAAATATAAGATATAAAATAAAATAAAAAGTAAGTAAGTAATAAGTAGGACCAGTAGCAGGCACCAGAGGTCATTCAACTGTTGGATTCAATTCCCTACAATTTGTTTTATTTTAATTTATTTGATTAGCCTTAGAACTGTTTTTGTCCCAATTTCTATACTAAATGAAAAACTAATTATCAAGAATGTTAAATCCCATTGACTAATGGATACATAACTATTTTGACCTTGCTCTTAGTTCTGATGCATAGGAAAATTCAGACAGAATGTTAGTCATGCTACTCATTAATGTCCCACTGGTAACACTCTAGTTCCTTCCATGTTGCTCAAGACTTCAATTAGGCAAGCACAGTGCCAAAGTAAATAATCAGTAGAGTAAATGTGTCAAATTTTCTACATTCAACGATTTATGCTGACTATAGAAAGTTGATTAAAATTGACAAATTGATGCAATCCAGATGCTGAGATGACAGATATGCCAGTGAGATGGGTGCATGCCAGTGTAATCCATCCATTACACAAACATTTAGAAATATGGAGCAAGGCAATTGATTTTAACATTCAATTTTCTACACAGGGAAAAGTGATTTACTGGAAGGCACTGTATATAAATAGTAACCTCAGCATCAAATGAAGTTATAAATAAAGCTGTATTACAATATGATGGCTAAGTTGTGATAGTTTGGAAGTGACGGCAGGTGACAATGAAAATTTAGAGAATCCTACTTGTGGGTCTCAACCAGGGATGGGATTTAAATTTTTAACAACTAGTTCTGTGGGCGTGGCTTAGTTGGTGGGTGTGGCTTGGTGGTCATGTGACTAGGTGGACGTGGCTTGGTGGTCATGTTATTGGCTGGGCATGGCCAACTCAATATCACTCATATCGAGGCACGCATCTCCTTGCCTGGCCTCTCAGGTCTGAGGATGCTGCAACAGTCGTAAGTGTGAAAAATGGTCATAAGTCACTTTTTTCAGTGTCATTGTAACTTTGAATGGTCACGCAAAGTACCAGAAGAGGAAGGAAAAAATACTTCAGAGACGTTCCAGAGACAGGAAGTCTAGTCCTGCTAAGAATGTAATAAGGGTTAACGGAGAGGCAGTTTCTATAAGCAACACCAGAATGTTTCTTTCCTGCCTTCCTTACAGGATTAGGCCAGTGATTTCTTCTAACAACCGGTTCTCCAAACTGCTTAGAATGTTAACAACCGATTCTAGCAAATAGATGCGAACTGGTAGAATCCCACCCCTGGTCTCAACCGTTAGAAGTATTCAAACAGTAAAAAATTAAAAATTAAAATGTTAATGTTACATGCCAAATGATAACACATTTGCATCTTCAAAGACCAAAGACAGAAGTTGGGGTCCACAAGCAATTGAAGTTTTGAGGCATTAATATTGCCTGACCCTGCAGACAAGGGCAATTTAATTCCAATCACATCTAAAAAACATCTGGCCAAATTTGGGCAAATCATTTCTCAGTCATCCATATATCTCTTTAAATTATGCTGTCAACAAAGCAACCACATTCTAAGGCACAAAATAAATGAGATTTCTTTGGGACTTGCCTGCAAGATAGAACAAGTAGGGAAAGAGGCAGTACACACTACAAAAGGCCTAAGTCTGACATAAAGCACCAAACAATATGGGCAGGGGAGCCAAAGGGAGGCATAAATCAAATAAACGGAAAAGCTATTGTAAAAGTTTCAATGGGCTAGTGAAAGACATCTAAATATAACCACAGATTTAATATTCCCCCCTGCTTGCTCCCAGCTGCTCTAGTAAAAGAATCAGATCTATGGATGATTAACTGTAAATATTGGGAAACATGCATTAAAATTTATTTTGTCATCTTGAATGGATAGCTACAAGCCAGGAAGTCTACTGAAATGCAGATTTTTATGTGAAAGGGAATTAGGCCCAAGGTCAACCTTCCTAAAGAAAAATGGGGCAGAGAAA